CCCATCTCCGAAACGTCGTTTTACGTTTTATATTTACTAGACGATGGATAATATCCAAGTAAATTTTTATTCAACAGAATATTTAGGCCTTTACAAAATGGCACCGGGACAGATTTATCTCCGAGTCCTTCAGTTTTCCTCCACCGCTGTTCCATATTTACTTATGCGTCATCTAGGAGTTATTAAAAAGGGCGTCAGAGACTCTGACCCCATCGCAAGAATTTGACAGAAAATATTAAAATATTAACCTAATTCACAATATGACGCAAATATACTACCTTATGAACAACAACAAATATTCGAAGATTATGGAACGAATTGAAAGTAGGCAACTTTCAGTTATTATTATTATTATTAGTGTTCTGTCTGACGACAGGTCCATATGAACAGGATCCTTCCATCCTTTTCTCGGACTGGGACCTGTTCATATACGTTCTTGGCAGATGATCCAGAAGTGGTTTGCCATTGCCTTCTTCTGTGTGTGAATGGAGTAATTGTTGGGATGCCACGGAGGAAAACTCCGTGTTGCCTAGACCACGGCCTTGCCCAACACAAGTTATAAATTCGGGCACCGCCGGGAATCGAACCCGAGACCCCAGGATTACAAGGCCAGCGTTCTAACCGCTAGTACCTTCAGATAACTGTTAACTGGATATCACGGTGCTTTGGTAGATAGGACAGAAGATGATTTGTCCACAGATTTTGTACAGATTAGTTTGATTGTTTTAATTGGAGTTTTTCCTCAGGCATGCCCGTGTCGTCTCCGGAAAAGTCCCGTTTAGTTTCTGTGGTTCTCCCAATTGTCTAACGCAGCGCGAAGCTGAGAAGCCTCGAGAAGGAATCTTGGCAAACATACTGTGACTCGTAACAGTTTCATTAAACACCGCGTTATGGCCCCTTTCGCGGCCATATTTATGTCTTCCTCGTGTCCCAGCGCCGACAATGTCGGAAAAAATGCCAGAAGGAAAAGATGCACAACAATGACTGTGGGGCCGCTGCCAACCTAACACATTTATTGCCGTCTGGAAGAGGAGGGGGCGAAGTCTCAGGAAAATGACTCAAACATTTTACTTTTATTTAAACATTAAAATATTTAAAATAACATATAAAAGGAGGGAAATTGGCTTCTTGTAATTATCGGTCATTGAAATACAAAGTAGCAGCTTTAGTGACAGCAGAATTTCTGAACGATTCAACGTCCTCACGTTGACGCCTGTTGTACCCCGTAGTCTGACAGGGCAATCGCTCTGTTGGTAGCGGTAGCAAGTACCTCCGCAACGTCGGTCAATTTCTATCAGACCACACTCCGCAACGTCCAAGAAGACAGTCATCTTCATGCTAGTCCCCGTGAGAACTCTGAAATTCTATCAAACATTTGATTAGGCCGTCTCTTTCTTGGTCTACCCGATTGATCTTCTTCAGGACGGTAGTCACATGCCCGTGCGTCTTTTTAAACCGCGTTACTTCATCTTTTCTGCGTGTGAGGGCCATTTTTTTGTTGTTGAATATTGTAGTTTAAATCGTATCACTTTTTCGGTAATCTCTCTAATTCTCTTTTTATCCGAAAGAGGGATATCTGTATCTTGACTGTATTTAGGGAAGCCATGTTGCTTATCGAAACAGATTTAAGCCCTTGAACGTCTTCCAGCAAATATTCTCGTCACTTTCTCGTCACACTTTTTCGTCACTGACCCTAAAATATAGACGTATTTGCGTCAAAATACAGAACATTCCGCGGTGTCTGCCATTTTGCCAGTTTTCGTTCAGATCACGAAAGCCATGACAGCAGCTGATACGTGGGAAGACGCCAAAGTCTTGACAGTCCGCCGGCATGACGTCATTGTTTTGCCATCTTCTTTTTCTCGAGAAATCTGAAATGCGTTAGTGCGTCAAGACATTACTCACGCTGCCAGGATCACAGGCGGCCATGAAATCCGACCAAATAACACAACAGTTCTGCATCGGCCTTTCTGAGATCACTTCTTACCTCGGAGATGACTGTCTTGTGTGACGCGCCGTGTAATCGGGCGGAAATTCACCGGAGTTTCGCTGTGTGACGCGCCGTGTAATCGGGCGGAGATTCACCGGCGTTTCGCAGGTGCGTACTGTCTCCATCATCAGGACGATGAGTGAGGCAGTAAGAACCTCTGAAACGTCGGCTAATTTCTATCAGACTACGACTACACGGCCTAAAAGAGTACGAGATGACGTTGTTGACAAGCAAAGTCTTTTTAGAAATCCTTGACACATTTTTCCTTGTTTATGTTACTACGTCATATCAACTTCTGTGCTCTGTGGCCTTTTCTGAAAGAATTTTGTGCGAAATGGAAGTGCATCTTGACTTGTGACACTCTTGCAGTCGGCAGCTCTAATTTCTCTCTTTCTGCCTTGGCGAGCTGCAGGACGGGATGGGGATTTGAAAGCAGGAAACAGCGCCGACAGACGTACACGCTTTCTGCGGTTTGATCCCACCCCCAGGAAGAGGGGGGGGGGCAGGTGTGGGTCCAGAGGGGTGGATGCAGCGGCGGATTGCAGCATCAGCTGTCAAGACTCTCTTGTGTCTGCGTTCGCTCTCTCCCGGCGCTGACACTGTTTATTAACTGACTTCATGTTGGTATCACCCGGAGCTTCAGGTCTGCCATAGCACACGACCCGGAACCAGTTTCATT